TTTTTTTTTTTGACAAGGGCATAGTTACATTTTTGAAAAGGCAATTTAAAAGAGAGAGCTCAATTTTGGGGGGTATTTCAAGACACTGGTGTTTATTTATGTTTATTTATGTATAATGACCACAGTGATCACCACTGACAAAACTGCAGAAAGCGCATAAAAACTACTTAGGTGGGTCAGACCAGTGAAACTCTGCTTCCTGTCGGCTCAAGGAAGTTTTTTACACATTTAATCGCTGCGATATTTTAATATAAGAAAAAGAAGATACATTTCAGCAGTGCGTGTCAGTTTTTTTACACGATAAAGAAATGCTGCTGTGGTAAATGAAAGAAATCTGTCAGCAGATCTCTCTGGTTCAAATTGGAAGAAACTGTAGTAAAGTAAAGTAAAACTTTACTTCACTGGCTGTCCTTAATTTGAATTTTACTGCTGTGTAACCATGGTTTAAAAAAAACCCACACAAAACAAAAACCCAGAAATGTCTAAATAAACATTTTCCAAAGCATCCAGTGGACTCGATTATAGTCTTTGGCGGCCTGATTCTGATCCTTATCTCTACTCTACTCTACTCTGCTCTACTCTGCTCTACTCTACTCTACTCTACTCTGCTCTACTCTGCTCTACTCTACTCTGCTGTCTCCTTTACTCCTTTCATTCAAGTATCATGTTTAACAGTTCTTGGTAAAAGGAAGGTGTGGTAGTTGTGCAGAAAGGGGCGTGTCTGCACAGTAAGGAAGTGGATTCTGATTGGATGATATGACCTGATTTCTCTCCTCTCCTCTACTGTCTCCATTACTCCTTTCATTCTGCTGATGTATCATGTTTCTAACAGTTCTTGGTAAAAGGGAGGCGTGGTAGTTGAAAGGGGTGTGCCTGGACAATAAGGAAGTGGATTCTGATTGGATAATATGACCTTTCAGGCTGAGCTAAAAGTTTGCAGAGTGAAGGAGGAAGTCCGTGTGTTGGTGTGGCTTTGGACAGGAGAAGAACCGCTCTGACTGCTCACCAGTGTTGACGTTTAGTGTAACGGAAACCTTGCAGACATGAAGAAATCACCCAGGTAATTTGCTGCTTTACAACGAGTAGTCAATGATTAACTAGAATTGAGTAGAAGCAGACTTTAAGCAGAGATATATTTGGGAATCATTTGAAAGGCAAAGACATGCTAATTACGACCTAAGTTGTTTGCATGTCATAAAGGAAACTGTGTAGCTTTAAACCTTGGATGGCTGGTTGGTATCTCCATTATGGAAAATGAATACACAGCTTTTATAAAGAGAGCTACTTGTTTTTGTTACAACTAGTCCCTCAGCTGCAGTTTAAATGAAAAGAAAATTAAATACAGTTTTTATTGGTGGGTAAATGCATTCTGGCTTTACCTTCTGAAATGTTTGGTTGTTTTCACTCCAAACAAAGTCAGCAGTCAGTGCTTAGGTTTGAAGACATTCAGGGGAAGTGGTGCTGCTTTTTGAAACCGTTGTCACGCAAACCATTAGATGCAGTCGGCTTCTCTGTCTGCAGGGCTGTGGGGAGGGGCAGCTGCATGGTTACATGAATAAAACACCAAAGCTTGATGACTTCATCGACCATGAGCCTAATGGCAAGGGGCAGGTCTTGTGAAAAAATGCTAAACTGTGTGATACTTTGAGTTTTAAATGTTTGGTTCAAACAAATATGAATAAGGTGAGTTACAAATGCTTATTTATTTAGCTAACATTCACATAGCAAGTGCATTCAAAGTAAAAACCATCTATCTGGCTGTTGTGAAAATAATTTTGTTCTTCAAGTGTATTTCTTTATTATAAACTCATTACGTTATGCAAATGCTAAACCATTTTAGGCGTAAGCTGCTGTTTTGGCTGCTAATGAACATTTCTGCCTGGTTATGAAACGCACACAGACAGATGGGACTCGGTGAATGTGATGTGACATCGGACCAGTCGCTCTGTACTCAGCAGATCTGTCGGCTAACTCATTATTCTGTTAGACCTGACTGACTCTGACAGCAGATGAGACAGAGCTCCTGCTTTACTGGACACCCTGAACTTCAACAAGAATAGTACGCATGTTCAGGTTTTACAACGTACCCGTCATCATCTGCTCTACTTTAATTTGCTGCTGAGCTTGGTGCACTTTTTTCCAAATTAATTCATCGATTTCCGAAACAAGTTAAAAGTAGCTAATTGAGCATCAATTCAAAATGCTCCTAAGACTTTTGTTTTGTAATCCTCTGTCGCATTATGACCAGAGATGGGAAGCTAAGGAAGCTGTGGGACTGATGCTACCATTATCAATTCTGCACAGCTTGCAGAAACATTGATAACATTGATTGAACATCCTGCTCTACATGCAGCAAACCTACTGAGCATGTGTCTGATTGGAGAGGACTATTTTGCACCACGTTGAACCAGTTTAACATCAATGTGTCTGTCTTTATTTTCATATAATAAGTCATTTCAAAGTTAGGGTAGCACGAGTATTGTACAGGGTTTGCATACGCTACGGAAAAGGAAAAGATTCATATCATGTTCAGTCTGTCATCTCCTCCTTTTTGTGTTTGTATCACTTGGATCTAGAATGTATTACATTTGCTTTTTGAGGTTTATAATTTTACAGGAAATCTGAAGTTGGTTAGATGAGACTATTCTGATTCTAACAATCATTAGAAAACATAACATTGCATTAAAAATGCAGATTTTTCTTCCTCCCTTTTTCGCTATCTGGAAACTATCTGATGCCTCATAAGTGTCAGAGTTGATTAGTTTATGACTGAAACAAAATACACTAATGTATTTTGCGCACAAGTGAAAATATGAAGAAAGTCAACTATGTTCATGTCTGTTGTTATAGCTGCTGCAGTACTTAAGTCCTAATTGAGCAGGAAATGGATGCATGCACTCTTGACCACTCCCACCACAATTCAGGGGGATGAGTCCCATTACTCGGACCACAACATCTTCTGCCTCCCTGTGTGCATCACTCTAATCTCCCAGATGGATGGAACTAGTACTTAAGATTTCATATAAGAAAGAGAGAAGGTGTCTCTTGTAAACAGCAAAAAATGATAACCAAACAAACAAAACAATGCTTTTTGCAAGTTTGAGCTTCAGGATTAAAAATATCCGTTTATTATTTCAAACCACTAAGTTTAAAGATAAAATATCCTGATTTTGTTGCATGCAAAAAGTGGTTAAAGTTCAATATATTCAAAGCGACAAATGGTCCAGCACAAAAATGTCGGTCCTTTTAATCTTTCTGTAGCTGCATTTGTGCTCATTAGTGCCCTCTGGTTCTTACAAGAACCCTTTGTGTTTTC